TACAGTATCTGCCTTCTTGTGACAAACCGGGTTAATATCAAAAAACCTGACCTCGGTTCCTAAATGTTAGCAGGAATGTGAAATGTTCAATGAACACACTTCCAAAATTTCCACACTGTTGGGTTGAACAACGTACTCTAGAATCGGTACCACTGTACCAGTTTACCCCTGAACAGTCGATTGACTTGATGTATTCTGCACGTCTTGCGCTCAGGATTGCTCGTATACGTAATGGTTGCTAGTGCAGGTAGCTCTAAACTTCTGATTACCGGTTGTTCTTTGTAAATATGCACACTCAAAAATTAAATTATTCCTGAAAATCTGGTATTTGAGCGCAAAGAGGTTCGGTTTTTTTATATTTTCTCCAGGATTTTTGCTTCATTTACCTCTCGTCACCCGGGCTGTTGGAAGATGTGTCTGCTTTTGGTTTACAAATAGCACATTAATTGCCTGTTGGCCATAGGATCTGAAGTAACGCGGACTATTTAGACTCAGGTTGAACCCCAAGATTGCGAGGTTTTTCCAGACAGTTTAGTTACATTGAGTTATTCATTTTGTATCACTTGTCTCTGTATGCACTTCAGTGTTATACAACCTAAGTGACCTCACATGGCAGGCAACGCAGCAGTTTCACGTCTACACTGCAAGCGTTAGCTCATTAAGCTAGGATTTTCTGGCACTGTTTGACGATTGTTCTCATCAAAAGTGTTGCGTCAATTTTTTCAGGCAAACTTACAGCTGAAGGTCAGCTTGATGGAATTTTATCGTCCTCAATCTTCATGAGCCATTGACAAAGAGCCACGACGTCGAGCTTAAGTTCTTCGACAGCGAATTGATGGAGGTTATTATCATTAAGTTAAATGTGACTCCATGCGGCGCTGGGCACTTATCGCATTCAGATTTCCACGAGGCCTCTAATTCCTACCCGCAAAAGCTATGGCTGTTGCCATCTCTTCGTGTAAGACTGTACCTGTATCTACATAGCAGAGTTTTACTAGTGGAGTATGGATGAGTGAAACACTAATGCGCGAGAACAGTGCCGGTATTATAATACATCTGGATCTTTTCAAAAAAGTTTTACCTGAGGTTTAGAAGCTGCGAATCCGTGCTGAGCAAAGACAAGCTTAAAGCGTGGATAAAGATAAGTGGTCAAATTTTTCCATATACTTTTCAGCAGTTTGGAATGCTATAGAAATTATGTAGATAATGTGGTTACTTGCAAGAAGCTTACCACTATTTTACCACCGTCTGCAGGATGTCAAAAGGCTTCTTCTAGAAAGAAAGTTATCTGAACACTAGCTTGCGCAAAATGTATAAGCCGAGTGACTTGGTAATATCTTGTTTGTTGGAGAGTAACCTATTTTTTGATGCCCAAAACCACATCCTGTAGGCAATCAACTGTAATGAGGGTATGAAATGTTCTGAACGCGTTATGCTCCCAACCTCACCTGGTTGTACGAGCACCTAGGCTTTTAAGGAGACAGAAATATACCTAGTTGCTTCCATCTGATAGTTAGTGGAGGTTCGTATGTGTCTTATGCGTTACAGTGCAAACCTCGTTCCCTCATGACCACCTTTCTCTCCATAATTTTTTTCCAGAATGCACCAACAAAAAAGTTTTAATTCGTTTAGCTGTTACAACCTTTTGGTTGTTAGCTGCTAGAGAGATGCCTGCAGTCGCCCTAAAAGTCCCATAAATGAAGCGCGGATTACATCCCAAACCAACATGGAACTACCCGGTTGCGGTATCAGATTAAACGGATGTGTTAAAATGGCTCGCTGAAAGCCAATAAATAATTCTTCTAGCTATTTTCCTCTTCAACTGTAAGGATGTCTTAGTTATACACGCAAACACCTGAGATAAATCCGTGTTTGCCAGGTAAAATAGAAGGTATTCGTTCAGCCTCAACAGCCCGTCGGTAACTTCCAAGATGTCCAAACTTAGGCAGAAGCGATCAAGCAGCGGCAAAAGCAAAACACTGCTTTCAACAGGTTTCTCTGGCGTTTACCACGAACTGAAAATCAGGGACTACGCATAAAATTCAAGTTCATGCTCCGATTTTTCGAGCGAGATAGGTGTAGTTGTTGACTTTCTTAGCCTTTTCGGATGTGTATTTATCTTTGTAAAGTATAAATAGTACTCAAAAAGATTGACCACGTTTTATATAAAATCAAGTGGTGCTGTATATTTAGTGAGCGTTGCTGGTAAAATGTTTTTTGTACATGTACTATAATAATATTAAGTATTCAACTATAACAGTCATTTATTTTCTAGTTACAGTTTCACTCAAGAGAGGCACGTGGACTGAGATACGGTCATGTTACCTAAGCATAGACATGGGAAATCAGGACTTGGAGAGTCAACACATCTAAGACATACCAGGTGAACAAAAGAAGCCCTGTGTAATAATAATCAAGGATTTATGAAGATATCGTTTTACCAGAGAGTAGCTACAAATCTAAATGGGATTATAGTTGAAGAATTTTGAAGAAGAGTATTTTTACCAAGTAATTCTCCATAAACTCAGCTGAACACATTTGCGGCCTTTTTAGCGGTCAGCGTAGTGTACGTGGAATAGTTGTATATCACTCATTTAGCGCAACTTCAGTCTCTTGGGGTCATTTGAGAAGTGTCAAAAAACTCAGTTAATCACAAAGACCAGTAATTCACGATCTGTTGTGATGGAAGCGTCGATGGAAAGGCCGGTACAATCTAATGCTGAGCAGCGAATATCCTATGTATCAGTCTTAAGGTTGGATCTAACTAGGGCTCTGTTGTCCCAACCAGCCGTTTTTCTCAGAGTCGGTTGTTCATTTAGATGGTGCTGTCGGTATGTATTGGAGCTGGCGGTTGCTTGCAAAGTCCTTGTCACATGGACAGAAAAATGCGAACTAACTAATATGTCACAATATCAACGTCCTCTTGAAGACATCACTAGTCTAAGTCGGTAGACAAGTCCCTTATTAGTTTTATTAGAGGAAAAGTGATGCGCCGGATTGGATAGAAGGATAAAGATCGTTAATATGAATACAACGCATTGCTTGCATAATTATCCGAATTAAATAATTTCATCACTTAATCCACCTCACTGTCATCAAAAACTGCCAGAGACAGGTAAGAAATCAGACACTGGCCCTATACAACGTGGCAGTAAAAGTACCATCTTGGAAAAAACCTTTGG